ATTTACATGCAAAAAATATATTTAGCCATTTTTATTATGTTTTCGGTTTCTGTTCATTTTAATTCAAGTTTTTGCTTTTTAGTTTTGTTTTTATATTTTTTTTGCTTAATTTTTTTTAATTTCATTTATAGTAAGTTTACTTCTACTTAAACGTCTATTTTAAAATTTTAGTGTAAGTTTTTCAGTTGTATTTGTTTTATTTTATGATGTCTATCAGCCATCGGCGATGGACGATGACATCGTCTATCGGCCCAACCCTAGTCTGAATATTTAAGCAATATTTGGTCCAGTCTTATTTTTGTATTATTTACATGCAAAAAATATATTTAGCCATTTTTATTATGTTTTCGGTTTCTGTTCATTTTAATTCAAGTTTTTGCTTTTTAGTTTTGTTTTTATATTTTTTTTGCTTAATTTTTTTAAATTTCATTTATAGTAAGTTTACTTCTACTTAAACGTCTATTTTAAAATTTTAGTGCAAGTTTTTCAGTTGTATTTGTTTTATTTTATTTCAGCTTTATTTAAGTTACTGGAAACAATTAATAATAGTGTTAGTTAACGATAACAATACTGATTTGGCGTCTGGGAGTCATTAGACAGGCTTATTAAACAGTCATAATTTGACCATTAAACAACGATTTTTGGCCATATTGAGATTATCGGCTTGGCCGATTATTGCACTTGGATGATAAACAGTAGTGTTAACCCTATTTTGTCCATTCGCAAATTTACAGACAACCTTGTCAATGGATAACACACATTTTCAGTACCTAAATATCTTGTGAATTTTGAGTAAATGTGATATAAGATAAATGTAGATGCATTCTTTCATGTGCTGCCATTAAATTTGCATTGTATTTGCGATATATATCAATCATCCACTTGTCATATATTGTTCTTTCTCTCTGTCTCTCATGCAGGTATGCTAATGTAGCATGTGAGTTGTTGACATGCGATATGTCCCTCATCAATGATAAAGTTGGTGGAGACGAGTCTCTGATGAACACACTCTATAGTTTCCTAGAGCAGAAGTCAGCGCTGAATCCTCTACTGGCTTCCTTCTTCAGTAAGGCCTTCGGCAACCTCATCACCCGCAAGACAGAGCAGGTGCACAAACGCAGGTGTCTCTTTTTTTTTCTCATTTGAAAATCTGTTTTTCTGCAAATTTTCATTCAGCCTTTTGCTCTATTACATTATTTATCAGGTAATTGGTTTCCTAAAGAACAAGGAGGATTTCGTAGGGCAGGTGTTGAAACACTTGGACACGTCGGCCATGATGGATCTGGTGCTGCGTGTCATTAGCAGCGTGGAGCCCGTCTGTCTCAGACAGGAAGTGCTTACTGTGAGTGCACACGACCACCTGATTCATTATGTAGTGGCCACTTTGGCTCTGTAAAAAATAAACTCCCTTACACTTATTCTCTTATTCTGATGAAACAACATAAACGACCAAATTTTGATTGCAACATATAATCATCGTCTGTTTGATTACGTCATTAACTGAATGTTATCGTACATTTCTGCCATATGTATATCAATTTGACAGTCACCACTGATAAGCTACTACTAAATATATTGTAGAAACTTAATTTTATTGTATCGTGAAAAGCGCTATACAAATAAGCTTGAATTGAATTGAATTATTCTCTCACCGTTTATTTAATTTGTCTACTAACAATGTCCAATATTCATCACAGAAAAACTCATTCAAATTCAAAGTCATTAACACTTTCAGCACATCTCAGAAGATATAATGAGTTTAACAGTATACTCTGGTGGAAATCAGTGTTGGAAATGCAATTTTAGGCATTACTTGGGCTAATTTAATAGTGTTTTATACATCCTAAATAGACACTATTAAATCATCCTTTATATACTGTTTAAAAAATTAGATTTCTGTAAGATTTTTTTTAATGCTTTTCAAAGAAGCCTTTTATGCTTACCAAGGCTGCATTTATTTGATTGGAAAATACAGTAAAAACTGTAATACTGTGAAAGATTATTACAATTTAAAAGAATTGTTTTCTATTATAATGTAATTTATTCCTGTTATGCAAAGCTGAATTTTCAGCATCATTACTCCAGTCTTCAGTGTCACATGATCCTTCAGAAATCATTCTATAATATGCTGATTTACTGATCAGCAAGAAACATTTCTTATTATCAATGTTGTGCAAAACAGTTCAAAACAGTTGTGCTGCTTCAGATTTTTGTGGAAACCATGATACGTTTTATTTTTTCATGATTCCTTCATGAATACAAAGTTCAAAAGAACAGCATTTCTTAAAAAAACTTGTAGTATTTTTTCTGACTTCAAACATTTAATGGTAGTATACATAATATTTAAAGACTTGTTTAACTCATCGTAGTTAATTAGTAGAATAACTCGTATTTTAAATGTATTTATGCTGATTTTATATTTAAAGTGTGGGATGGGGGAAACAATCAAATCTGTACGCAGAAGTCATTAATTGAATGCATGGTGAAAAGTTTCCAAGACAATTTTAAGGTAACCTTAATGAAAAAAGAAAGATTTTAAATCTTTGTATTGAGTAAAAATCAACCCCTGGGATGTAAAAGTGCTCAAAACTAAAGAAATGCCTGTGTCTGTTTTTGTCTTGATGTTTCATGTCCTCTGTTGTCAGTGGCTGAATGAAGAGAGGCTGATCCAGAGACTCGTTGAGCTGATACACCCTCACAGCGACAGTGAGGTCAGTCACTGCAGTTTTACATCTTCACAACAAAGTTTAATACCTAGAGTGAAGCATTGATGAATAGTAGTGATGCTTGATCTTGGTACTGAAAAAGTCCTCATGCAACAAAAATGTTTAATTCCATCTTTCAAATATATATCAATAAATATGAATGAAGACCTATATTCATAAATGTGTTTGTGTGTTCACAGACGCAGTCGAACGCATCTCAGACGCTGTGTGACATCATCCGTCTGAGCAGAGATCAGGCCAGTCTGCTGCAGGAGACGTCAGAGACCGACCCTCTGCTCACAACGCTAGAGCTGTGAGTGTGTGTGTGTGTGTCGTCTCTTTCACTGCAAACTGTGCTTGGTCACGTTTCATGTCAGCTAGACGGTGTCTTGAAACTTTAGCTAGGAATAGTTCAGAAACCTTTCACCCAAAAATGAAAATTATCTGAAACCGTGCTCGTCTTCAGGCCTTCCGAGATGTAGATGAGTTTGTTTCTTCATTGGAACAGATTTGGAGAAATGTAGCATTACCTCACTTGCTCACCAATGAATCCTCTGCAGTGAATGGGTGCCGTCAGAATGAGAGTCCAAACAGCTGATAAAAACATCACAGTAATCCACACGACTAGTCTTGTGAATCCTCAAAATTTACCAACATATTTTATGTTTTGGACTGTTTTCGCTTGTTTTGTGCATATTTTTCTCCTGATTCAGATGAGACAACGTTTTTACTGAAGAAAACCATATTATGGATAGAGGACTTGCATTTTTCCTGAAAGTGATGGTTTGAAGTTAAAAACATCTAAATGATGGATTTGTTTATTACAAACACACAGCTTTTCACTTTCCAAAATGTTAATTGATGGACTGGAGTGGTGTGGATTACTTCTGTATTATTGTGATGGTTTTTAGCAGCTGTTTGGACTCTCATTCTGACGGCACCCATTCACTGCAGAGGATCCGCCGGTAAGCAAGTGATGGAAATCTAAATCTCGCTGCTATGCGTGTGTGTTTCAGACAGCAGAATGTCGAGGCACTATTGAAGAACATGTTTGAAGGGGAAAAGAGTGAAGTGTGCATTGTCAATGGAACTCAAGTTTTACTCACACTGTTGGAAACTCGTAGACCAGGGTGAGTAACACAAACACAAGACATATTTCATCTCGCATTCACTGTTACTAATGCGTGTGTGTTTGTGCGTAACAGTGTTGAGCAGGTGATTGACCTGTGCTCTCAGGGATTGGAAAAGTCTTACACTGTAAACAACAGCATTTTAATGGGCATCCAACCACATCTAAAGCACTTCCACCACCTTCTGTTAAACCCACCCAAGGTTGGTCTGTTCCTGCAGTTTTATCACAAGTCTTAAAAACAAAACGAAATCACTGAAAGATGTCATATTGAAGATGTTTCGACTCTCTGTGCTCAGAAATGTGTGATGTTGACCACGATGGGCGTTCTGGAGGAGCCGTTTGGCAACGCGCGACTGCATGCATCCAGACTGATGGCTGCTCTTCTGTACACCAGAGCTCCCAGAATCCACCTCGAGCTCTGCCAACTGAACATGATCAACCTGCTGCTGGTATTAGTCATTCTTAGTCTAGTCAACAAATAAATAAAATGTTTTCTTTCTTAGGTCCTATCATTTTTTTTTTATTTAAAATGTTATATTTGAATCTTTCTGGGTATTAAGACTCTTCAGACAGTATTTCCATGATAATGTTATTAGTTTCATTTTTGTGTTGTAAGAAATTATTTTATTTATTTATTTATTTATATATTTAAATCACACTACTGTTCAAAAGTTAGATTTTTTTATTTTTAAAGAAATAATACTTTTATTCAGCACGGACGCTTTAAATTAATCAAAAGTGACAGTAAAGATATTTGTTACAAAAAGTTACAAATGATTTATATTTCAAATAAATGTTGTTCTTTTGATCTTTCTATTTATCAGACAAGACAAAAAAAGTATCATGCTTTTTTCAAAAATTAAGCAGCACAACTGTTTTCAACATTGATAATAATGCGTCTTGAGCAGCAAATCAGCATATTAGAATGATTTCTGAAGGATCATGTGACTGAAGACTGGAGTAATGATGCTGAAAATTCAGCTTTGATCACAGGAATAAATGACGTTTTAGAATGTTACAGAAAATTTTCAACATTTTTTATTAAAATAAAAAAACAAAAAACTATTTTTGGTCAAACAAACACAGCCATGGTGAGCATAAGAGACTTCTTTCTTAAATGCTCTTTCTTTCTCAATTTCTCTATAGGATTTGTTTTTCAAATTCTCCTGGAATAACTTCCTACACATCCAAGTAGAGCATTGTGTCTCTGCCATCCTTAACCAGACGACACCTATCGGGAAAACACATGACAGTCCAGATCAGATTCAGCTGGAAACACAAGACACACAAAACTCAGACAAATCTGACATGTTCACATGCTGTGACATGATGAAGCATGTAAGTATGACCCTCACTTATTAATAGTGTATTTTTACATTTACTGTAAATTGTACATTTACAGTACATTTTTTGCTTGGAGTTTCACTTCTACACAAGTTATTCCATTTGTTCTGCCTACGGCATTAATTGTCAGAAATGAAAAGGCATCTTGTGAAATATGTGTACGTCATTGTGATATGATTGTGTGTGTGCAGCTGCTGAAGGACTGCAGGCTGGTTCAGAGGATTTTGGATGCTTGGGAGGAAAATGACAAAACACAGTAAGGACAAATATAAATATACGAGAGCTGTGTCAATACGTAAATATGCTGGTTGAGTATTTGTATATTATATTACATGTATAGTAATAAAAGCATCTGTCCGTGTGTGTGTGTGTTATAGGGAAGCTGGAGGCATGAGAAAAGGCTATATGGGTCATATGACCAGGATTGCAAACACAGTGGTGCAGAATGCAGAGAGAGAACAGGAACAGACCCAAATCGCACGGCTAATAAAAGGTAGCTGACTCACACACTGCAAATGTTTTTGGGTGGATTTGTGTGTGATTTACATATTATATTCTTATACACATTCTTTATCTTCAAATATTTGGTATGTCTGTGTATGACAGAGCTACCAGAGGACTATAAAGCACGCTGGGAGCAGTTTGTGAATGAAACGCTAACAGAAACTAACAAGAAGAACACAGCAGACCTGGTGAGATTTCACACAAAGACAATCGTAGGGAGTATTTTTACGTCAAAAATTACAATCTGCAAATCACCTTTAATAAGCATCTTGCTCTTAACACAGGTGTTCTCAGATTATCAGATCCAGCAAATGACGGCGAACTTTGTTGATCAGTTTGGACTGAATGACGATGAATTCGGAGACCATGACGGCAGCATCAGGTGATTCCCTGTACAAAGGTTTAGATTTAGAGATTGAATTATTAAATTAATCAGTAGTTAAATAATTGTTAATTATTAAAATATGTAAAAAATATCAAATTCATTTAGATGTACAATATAATTGTATAAAAATCCTTTTTCTTAAAGTGCCCGTTATGGGTAATGAAAGGTTCATATTTTGGTTTTTTTGGAGTCCCCAACAACAGGTTGACATGCATGCAAGGTCAAAAAACACTTTCGTTATCTTATAATATGCATTTATTTTTACCTTACAACCCTCTACGCACACCTTGGCTGTATGCAAGACTCTCGTTCTCTCTCTTTGCATGTGTGAGAAACACAGCAGGTAAAGCGACGGCGAGTCGTGCGCCTTCACACTAGTTTATGGTACATCAAATACAGGTGCTACATACTGCGCATCCATTGAGTACATGACATGATCCATTGAGCGCATCCAAATAGTACAGATCGCTTGACGGAGAGCGAAACTCTCAAGCGCTCAGTCAGCGTGTTTATCGAGTGAAAATATGTGTTGAACGCCTCTCACACACATACTGGCGTGTAAAATCTAAGAATTTATTAGCCAATGGCTAATGTTAGACATTATTTAGTCGCCCAGAGTAAGATTTAGTCGCATATGCGAGTGATTTACTCGCAATGTAGAGGGTTGCCTTACTTGCTCAACGACTCCCAAACGATTCGCTCAATGATGAATTTTTCCAAACCCCTCCTTTGCGTGGTGCTAATCTGCGGTGATTGGTCAATTTCATTTCCATATCATAATAAAAGCAGTGTTTGTGAGCGCAGTGCTGCTTTGTGTACAGCGTTACCGGAGAAACCGCTATTTTACTGCTCCAAAAGCGGCACCTAGTGGCAAAAAATGAATTTGCATTTTCATTCAGACGAATGCGAAAAGACCAACAAGTGGGCGGCAATATGCTAATGTTTCATGTTGACATAATGTTTCATTTTAAAAACAACTCGTTTCAATGATTCAGAGTCGAGACTTTCTTTTGAGAGACAATAACTTTATACACGGTGCACTTTCAGATTTAAAACTTTGCAGGATGTTTTCATTCACTTAGAGCTGTGTTACACACTGCATGAAAGGTAATTTTCAAAAATCCATAATGGGGTGCTTTAAATTATTGTTTACCTACAGTAAATCTACCATAATTAGAAAAACAAAAGGTTAACATTTGGTGCTTCATACAAACATGCAGTTACACAATGTCCTGCAATTTAATTTAATTGAATAATTATGTTTATTGATACAGGTTTAAATTTGTTTAAGTTCTGTGTCTGTTTTTCGTGCAGCGCCACGTTCGATCGAATCACAGAGATCAAATTTAACCTGGTGGATGAGGGGGTGAGTATTACCTAATGCCAATTCTTTGTTATTTGTTCTGTATTCTTATTAAGTTTAAGTTTATTAAGTCCCCCGCCCCATTTTGGGTTATAATATCATCCTTTCCATGTTTTTGTGTTTGCACTCTTTTAGCTTCCTTTCTCACTCTTGCTAACCCTTCCTGTTTTTTCTCATCTCTCAGGCGAGCTCTGCCATCTTTGAGACTCGCACAAAAGAGCGAATCCGGCCATTTGATGATGCTGAGGAGGAGGAAGACATTTGGGAGGATAAAGAAATCAACTATGCAACACAAGTGAAAGCCAGAAGCAGGTTCATAAAGCACACACACACACACACACACACACACACACATATTGACACACAAAACAGCCATTGCTCGTCTTCGTTAGGTTTGGACTGGTGACAAACGCTCAGAAGAGCGAGGCGGATGGTGGCTCTCGCAGACATCTGGAGTCACCTGACATGGAGTGGTTTCCAGAGACCAAACAAACTCAAGAAAATACCAAGAACCAGGAAATGGACAAGCAGTCCAGCGATCCGCAAAGTACGTTCACAGCTCACACACTCTAGATCTAGACAGCTGATCCAATATAATAACTGACTAGAAAGATGATTCTCACCCATCAGGTCCTGGATGGATAGCGAGTTTTGAAGACGACTTCAGCTGTCGGGATTTCACGAGTATCGTGATGGATACGGGCTCCAGTGTGTGGGGGAGCTCTACCGCCCAGCTCAGTGAGACGGAGGAGAAGGGATGGGCGACTTTCACAGACTTCCAGCCCTTCTGCTGGTGAGGGAGGACTGTGTTTGACTTGATATTGCATATTCATGTCATGTAGACACTGTGCTAAATGTTCTCATGTTCTGCAGTTCAGATGCAGGACCCAGATGCAGTTCACCTGTGGACTCGGAAAATTCAAACAAACCGAGCCAAAATGAAGAAAGTAAGTTGCTTACTTGCTTATACCATATCATTCCTCTTTATACTAATGCACAACAAATAAACATCCTGGCTTAACTATGTAATGTGTTACCAAACTTTTATAAGCATCTTTTCATTTTTGCAAAAAAAAATTTTTTTTTAAATAATAATAAAATTATGCAATATTTTAATTTAATAAATTATTTTCTCTATCTAAATGTTATTAGCTATATGAATATTTATTTCTATGTAAGATGCTTTTAAAAGTTTGGTGTTGTTAATAATATATATAATATATATATATAATATAATAAGATACTTTTGAATTTTGTTCTAAATGTACTTGAAATGGTACATTACTTAATTTATTAAATTGAAATATTACATATTTTTGTTAGTAGTAGTAATGCATTATTTATTATATGTAATAATTCATTATATGTGTATTTCATTTGAATTTTATCACTATAATTATTAATATTTAAATATTGTTGTTATATAAATAATAAATAAATTAATACATTTTCTCCCTCTAAATGCTGTTATCCATAAGAGTATTAATTTTCTATGCAAGATGCTTATAAAGGTTTGGTGTTATTAATTATTATTATTATTATTAGTATAATTAGTAATAATAATAATAATTATTGTTGTTGTTATTAGTATTTACCTTGTATATATTTTATAATAGTAGTAATATTTTTATTAGGTATTTACGGTACTTTTGATTGTTATTTGTTCTAAATGCTCTTGAAATGGTATCTTAACATCAGCTCATGTGTCTTGTGTAAGTTAAAAGCTCGTCAGCGTGTGTGTGGAATGTGTGTGGGGCGAGGAAGGCTCCGCTGGTGGCGTCTGACAGCAGTTCCAGTGAGTCAGACAGTGAGGAAGAGGAGGACCGAACCAACATCACAGAGAGTGTCGCCACAGCCAATGCCAAGGACAACGTTAAACTCAGTGTAGATGCAAAAAATGAGAAGGCAGTCTTCATCAGGTAAAACACGCTAATACACATTATTGCATTACATCTAACACCGTGTCTACACCGGACGCAAGCGGCGCGGCGTGACAAAATACGATAGAACTCATTATAATCAGTGATGCTGTCTACACTGGATGCGGCGCGGCGCGAAACGACAAATCCCCGACAGAAAACTGCTGCCGCGTTCTATTTACGACGTATTGACACAAATTTCAATGATTTTCAACGGTTGCTTTGTCGCGTCCGGTGTAGACAGACTTTAGCTGTTGCGGCGCGACACGACAACTGTCAAATCCGGTGTAGACCCGGTGTAAGCATTATTAAATTGTTTGCAGACAGATGTTAAAAATTTGCATATTGACTCAAAACATCTCAGAAAGCTTTATATACACAGTGATGTTCCTTCCACTCTTTCAGTGACACGAATGCCAGAGCAACAGGTGGCATGGCAACAGATGTCATAGCAACAGGAAGCATCCCTGGTACTCAGTCACCCAAGGAGCAGAAGTGAGTGTTTTTCCACTGGAAACTACTGGACATGTAGTTAAAGTGTCTAAATATAGCTGTCTCATTCTGCAAGGGTGACTCCAGTAGTAACGGCCCGTAACAGCGTTTCACCCGCCGCTCGTCTCCATCCCCATGACAGTTGTTACTCCACCCATCAAATGTTAAAGGCCGTGGCTTCCTGTTTTCAAACACGTTTCCTTTCCCTCTGGCATCTGCCGTTT